GCTCTAATGAACTTAACCAGGACTCACTATATACTAGGCTAGGCTACAGTTGGCTAAGTTTGACTAGACTAGACTAGACCTTTTCAAACTTTTTCCTGCAGAATTCTACTGTGTTTGGTTACTATGAAAATAAACTTCTAATAGATACTATGGAATTATATTTAAATGCCTATGTGGAGTTAATAAAAAAAGAAGTAATTATAATAAATCAACCATCATGACTCAATTAATTGAAACTAGCAGTATATAAATTATAATTTGTAATGATTTTTTACATGTTTATCATTTTATATCCTTGTTGTATGCCAGGCAGAGTCACTCTGTGAAATGGATGACCATATAAATGCAATAAGTAAACAAACATACACATAAATAAACATAAATCCAATTTAAAAAGTAGACTAAAGCATCAGTTTGAAATGATGTTATCAAATTCTATATGCCCTCCAAATACTATATTGATTACTAGCAATAAACAATAAAGAGGTAAACTAATGTTTAATCAATGGCTGGCCCTAGCTGAAGTTCCATATATTTTTTTGTTTCGGCAGATACTTTCCCTGACTCTATATCAGGATTCACTATATTTCCCAACAGGAAATGTTTGTGCATTAGTTACCATGGTTATAATTAATGGCATCCAAGGCAAGATGCCACCAAAGTCATAAAATGGGCATCATTATTGACAAATGTGTATCATGATGTTTCACATAAATACAAAAGTTGTGTGAAGGTGTCATGCACACATAGATTATTGTTTCCCCTGCAGAAGTTCTTACTTATAATATTCAACACTGCACCAACTCAGAAGCTAATGGATTGGATTTAGATATTCCCTATGAGCAAAAAAACACATGGTTTAGTAAGTCAGGTCCAGTGACAGCACTATAATTTCTCTGACTAATTTTGGACCTACAAAATCTTGACTGTATTAATTTCAACAGCTGTTTGCCTGGAGTTCTCATATACTGGAAATAAGTAAACAATAATTTCCAAATCACTTTATACACATCTGTAACTATATGCAATGTTGGAAATAAGTTCTTATAGATACTTTATTTGACTTTTCTCTTATATTTTTTTGTTCACATACATACTGTGGCTCAGAAAGACATGGCCTAAAATTATTTCCTAAAG